TTGTGTGTGTGTGTGTGTGTGTGTGTGTGTGTGTGTGTGTGTGTGTGTGTGTGTGTATTATATGTGTCCACCCCACGTTGCTACTTACACGTTGGGGTGCTGAACAGGCAATATAATTTTTGTCAAGTAAAAATAGTAATTTTTTTTTCACGTGTCACAAGTTGGATCTACTATTCACGTAATACTAAGCACTCGTTTACGTATGAGCAGCTGATTTGCGTACTAGATGCTCTGTTGTTTTTTAAGTGGGTTCTGCTTTTCATTTCATCGTATTGAGCACGTTTAAGTTTCCCATACAAAACCTAGTTTCTCATTGTAGATTACTCAAAGATTTGTAATCCAATTGCATTGTTTTCTTCCTGCAGTCTGGTGCGCTGATTATTGTTGGTTCATGCTTTTCACCTTTTATTCCCAAGTCTATGATAAGCTTGACTGTTATATTTCTTCCCGGTTATCGATCATCCCTCTATGTAAACCGACCTCTGTGGTGTAGTTGTGTAAGGCGCTTTGCCGTTGCCTGCAGGGGACCCAAGTTCGATTCCTATTTCGGGGGATTTTTCATCGGGGTTCTAAGTCTTTCTGCAGGTTTAAAATCATTACATGTAGATCTATATCCCTCTCAGCCTGGTATGGTCCTGAGAGGCAGGGTAGAAACCCACCTCCTAAAAGATCTAAATTGTCTGGAATCTTTTCTTTTTTCTTTTACTATAATTTTTTTTTTTTGGGGGGGGGGAGGGGTAATAACATTCCCATAAAAAAGGCATATGGCAAAAATTGCTCGTATTTTTGTACATTTGAGGAGAAAGTACGCCTCGGTTCATATTATTATATTTAAACCATAAAGTGTGGAGGTGCATTGGTTGAGATTTATGCCAAACTTTTGTTATGATTGTATTATTTTTCTTCTTTGTTTATTAGATTCTAGTTGTTGTTTGTTTTACTTTTGTTTGTTTTTTGCTGTTGTTTTTTTTTAGGGGAGAGGGTTTTTTCGTTGTTTACTGGGAGTTTTTTCTACGCGGAGGGGTGGGGAAGCCGGCCATCATAATGATTTGTTGAATTGTATGATTTATTTTGTTATTCGTACAACAGCATTGAGTGTCATAATGTTCCTACACGGAGATTTATTTATGTATGGATTTTACTGAAATACATTGATCAAAGAATACAAAATATGTCAATTTATTGTTTCCAAGGACACTCACACTTTGAAAGTCATAACATTTTTGCGGCCACTTTCTCTCTAATTCTACCCTTGACACCACCTCCTTCATTCGCAAAAGTTCTGACTTGTACTTGTATTCAAGATAAATGTGTGTTTTTTTTCTCATCAAGACCAAGGCAAATGAACAGGCTTTAACAGTAGCAATATGCTGAAATATTGACAAGTGCCTGAATCCATTGTCTTGTGAAACATGGATAGTGAGGACAGGCTCACAAAAATGCCAAGTGTGTGTTGGTCACACGGCTTTTAGGAGGTTAGTTCATCATTATGGTGTGTCCTTGAGCAAGCCGCCATAACCCTAACAACCCCCCCCCCCCAAATAAAAAAAAATAGGGCGCTGCACAGTGGCGACCAGTAATGCTTGTAAAATTATGACGTGCATTGCTGTTATATCGTGTACATGTATTTGGTATTCTGTTTATATTTGTGTGTTTAAACGCTGTATATATGTATGCTTATAATATGTATATTTGCCACTGTAATTAAAATGGATAATGATAATAATGATACTAATAACAATAACAATAGTAATAGTAATAATAATAATAGTATGATAATAAAAATAGCAATAATAATAACTAAAATAATGATATTAGTAATGATAATAATGACAACAACAACAACAACAACAACAATAATAATAATAATAATAATAATAATAATAATAATAATAATAATAACATGGGCCTACGCTCTGCAACATACTCTGTGCGCTTTACAACTGCACGTATTAGTACTCCAGCGAACCTTAGAACACTTATGAACAATTCCCAACTTGAATTGCAAGCAAAGTAAGACCGACATTGATCTCCATGCTGTACCCAGTGCAGTACAGTATATTGGTTATAACACTTTTCATTTACTGAGATAATTGTTTTCATAATTTTGCTCTGGAAAACTGTTCTGTTTTCATGTGTCATTGGGTTACTGTTTTAATTACTGTTACATGTAATAAATGTCAAATAAATTTTGCGCTTTTTAAACACAAAACTATCAGTGTGTCGGTTCTCTTGAAAAGTAAGTACAGTCCAGCGCGCCCATAGCGAAATCAGTGAACGCGGAAATAATTTCGTTATGTACGATTTCGCGGTGTAGGTGTTTGAAATACAAATGCACCATTTAAAAAAAAATAAAAATTGGGGAACCTGAAAATCTGTTCGCTGTGTGCGTGCTAGACTGCAAAAAATGTTCCTGCCCCGAAAGGATGCTCTACAAAGTATTCTTCTAATTAAGTCTTTGCAGGAATACCATTTTGGATACATTGTTTTTTTCGTTTGTTTTTTTCATGAATATATATTAATTCCCTTAAGCAAATCTCAACCGGCGTTTGTGGTTTAGTGGTTTTGCGCTTTGCCGTCACATGCAGAAGACCTGAGTTCAATTCTCGGGTGTGAAGAATTTTAATGCAAGTATCTCAGTCTTTCTCTCCTAAATAATCTAAACTGTATCTTGGGGGGGGGGGGTGGTGGTGTTAAAACACCTTCATTGTACTGGAAAAGGAAGTGGAGATACAGAAAGAGTGTTCAGGGACAATAGAGCAAGTCGTTATGAACGCCGACGGCGTTTTTATGTGTGTGTTAGGGCTGGAGTCTGCTCGATTAATCGAAGGCTTTCAAGCAAACGGACGGCTCGTGCCAGAGGCTTGCGAGCGGGCTTGAGTCTTGCCCGCTACCGGAGTTGCCACTCGTGGACGGC